CACAGTGGCCTTCCCTCATCCAGGCGATGCAGCATTTTGGAGGCATGTCTCGGAGATTCTGTGATCAACACGATGTCGTCGGCGAATCGGAGGTGGTTGAGGCGCACTCCATCAATGTTGACACCAAAGTTGCTCCAGTCACATGACAGACTCTAGACAAGCAGTGAACTTTTATAACGAGTTTGTTCAGAGCACTAAACACTTGAATTCAGTGCATAATTATGAAGAAGGAGTGCAGTATGTGAAGCTGTAAAAAAGTTATGTGGAGGTGTCGGAAGGTTTTTCTTTGTCCTCGTTTGGATTTCTCGTCGCTGCACGGCAGGCAGAAAGATTGCGATGGATGGAACTATTCGAAAATATTGCAGACGGGTTCAATGACAATTTGGTAAAAAAAAGTTTGTGTAGCTGGAAGAAAAAAGTGCAGTGTTTCTACATGTATGTACGCATGAAAGGCATGTAAGTGACAAGAATGTGTCCTGTGTCCCCGAACATTGTTAGCCCTCTTGACGGTGTTATTCCTCTTGGTGAACACCAACACACCGAGCAAGCGCGACTGTTCTACTATCGCGATCACATCTTTTGAGGTCTCACGGATGTTACTTACGTGCTTCAATGGGCAAAAAGTCAGTTGCCTAAGATATAATACATGGTACAACATGAAATCATGAGCCTCTGAGATTCCTGCAACAGTTCCACACGCTGGCGACCACGCACTTTTTGGAGATAAAAACCTTCTGTGTGATGCAGAAGAAACTTTATCGGATGAAAAACACTAAACTTTTTTTTTACAAAATTTTCATTAAATCCGTCTGCAATATTTTCGAATAGTTCCATCCATCGCAATCTTTCTTGAGAGCCTGCCGTGCAGCGACGAGAAATCCAAACGAGGACAAAGAAAAACCTTCCGACACCTCCACATAACTTTTTTACAACTTCAGATACTGCACTTCTTCATAATTATGCACTGAATTCACGTGTTTAGTACTCTGGACAAACTCATTATAAATGAAGCATGGAAGGTAAGAGAAAAAGCATTCATGATTTTTGTTTGATGTTCGTGCAGCTCACTATCAATAAACTCTCTGAGCATTATCCATCATAATGAGCGATGAAGTAGAACTAGTGATTGCATCCAGTCCCCGCTTCATGGAACCGTCCCTGCGTAAGATTGCCGGAGCAATGATCGTGAATATGCACTCAAATCGGAGTATTTCAAATCCTTTTACGTCTCCCTGACAGATTTCGCTGCTGAGTGACCCTCCAAACATAAGCTGAAATACGTTGAGGATTTGCATTTCTAATGCGTGGCCTTTCTCAGAAATCACAATAACCAATAGTCTTCATTATTCAAGAAAGTTACATAGTTAGTTCACGCCAGAAGACATGGCGAGGTCCTCCACAATCTTGACGAAAACCATCTCAGAAACTCCAAACCTACCTGCTTCTATTATTAAATGGTAGTTGCTCATTTCAGGCCTTCGGCATAGTGTTTTGAATAATAATTCAGGTAAAAAAAAGCTTAGGATAAAGCTTTGCCGTCGGTCGAATCCCGCCTTGGGAGGCGACACGCATTCTACTTCCATTTGTACATTCGTAGTGGCGCATTGAATGCGATGTGGCCTATACAATGACTTGCGGGGGCCAGCCGATGTTCAAATACAGTGTTTTTTTATCCTCCCAGACAAATCTGGCATCAGTTTACCGACCCGGAGGGATGGAAAGCTTGGTTGGCCCAGACGAAGCATGCTCCAGATTCAATCCCCGGACCGCGCGCGTGGTAAGTGTGCCACTTGCCCCTCAATAATTCAGGTCGAATATTTTTTCATAAAGATTTTCAGGGGGTTGAACAAATTTTCTTGTGCCACAATGTACTAGTGGAAACTCGAAAGTTTTCGATTTCACGTGGAAGCGATGAATGATCACTCGATGTGTCGCAGTTGCCAGGTAAGTGAAGATCGGATGGGCTGAGCATGTCACACAATCTTGTAATAACTGTAGGTGTGAAGCGGTAACTTGAAGCCTTCGGTACGTCGAATACATGCTAGCTGGTTGACAGAAGGCGAGATCAACAAGGACTGAACTCAAATACACTGGGTAGGCTACTGAATCCGCGTTTGGTGCGTTTATGCTATTGTCCAACTGTTTTTCTTTCTTATTCTAAGACCTTCCAGCTACCTTTTTTTCCCTTGAATTACCCCAAAATTTCAAATTTTGCTGAACCCCTGAATATTTTGCTTCCACAACCTCCTAAATGCGCTTCTTCCTATAAAATGCACTACTACGAAGGCTTCCCTTCTTATGAAATCCTCAAGTCAAGTCCCATAAACGCGAAAGTGTTCCGTGATTAGAGAGTCGAACTATCATAGGAAGGAAATTTTCAGACAAGTTTGAAATTCAGACAAAATTCAAAGAAGTGGGCAGCATTCTGCCGTCAGTCTGTGGTCGAAGCTTTGTGTTTGGGATTACCTTCAGATGGATTCAGATTACATACGTTGTAGACAGTCTGTGCAAGGAAGCTTTGAAAAAAATAGCCACTGATTACACGTCAAAATCCCAACGAGAGGGCTGTTCATCAAGGCGCATCGCCTTTCCGGCCTTATGATGGATGCACAAGTGTGCATTTGTTTCACATGAATACACTACAATACATTATGATATAAACTTTTACGCCGAGACGTTATGTTGATATGATGAACCGATCTATACGACACACTTTAATTAAAATGACGAAAGATCTGTCTTAACGCGCAGCGTAGAGGCATCCTATCAGTCACTGGCATCTTTGGAATACAGCGGTGGAAACCAAAGTGCACACAACCGCATCCATACTTCATCCCATAAGCGCGAAGCTGAACAAAATTAGTAAGACAGGCGTATACACCAGTAAGACAGTTTTCATTCGGGAAAAAGTCGTAAATTATATGACAACACGATAGCATACTCGCCTTGCTGGCTTCTAAGCCAAGCTCCTACATATTAACAGTGCCGTTCAGAACATGCGTTGCCTACCGTGTGCTGCGTATGGCGATGGTGTATTACAGCTCCATAGGATACGACAGTTCCTCACGATCTTGTTGGCATAAAAACATAATTTCCTAACCAGAGAATTTACAAGGGTAGCCAAAAAGAGACACTTCACTCCGCCTTTTGGACTGCATTAATCACCCTTTGCTTAGACCCAAATCGACTGTTCCCACTTAATATTGAACAGCACGTCCGAATCTATCATTTAATTTGTGATAGCAGCTTCCTGCACCAACGACATCACAAGAATTTGAAATGAGAACCTTGTGGACGGTCCGAGCCCAACGTGCGTTCCGACAGATCATGGACCATTGCGCTTATCTGGAAGCCAGAGTCAACCCTGCGTTGCGCAGTTCTCAACGGCCACGTTGCGCAGTTTCGCCCGATTAGACACGTTCTCTCGCGCGAACATTCACACTCGCATGCTCGAGCCGTCTGTGTCTCCGCCCATACAGCGTGCGTTGAGGATCTCTCAACGTGCCGTTGCGAACTGCGCAACGCAGGGTTGACTCTGCTGGAAGTCGAAATCATTAACATTTATACCTACTTATCTCTAGTGAAGCAATCACATCAGTGATCCGATATAAAAATTCATAGGCAGTTTTAGGCTGAAACGATATCTGTTGAGGCCCACTTTTGAGCTGAACAATGATGAGAAGATAGATGTTCGTAATTGAGACGGTTAGGGCCGTGCAGGAGAGATGTCCTTACCAAAGGACAGTAATGAAGGGATATTTTGCATACAACATTCAACGTAGCACCCTGCGTGACGAAGTTTGATGATGTGCGCCATGGCAAAGTGTCTTTTTTCAGCCACCCCTGTATCGCACCAATTGACCACTTATTTTCATTGGGCACCTTTCTAACTTTGTATAAATTATTAGAAATTCAAAGTGGGCCTATATTATGAAACGGCTCAAAAAACGGAAAAAATGCTAAAAAACTTCTAAAACACCAGACTTGCCTGTCTGAAAACATGTGTTTCGTAGTTTTCCTGGACAACGAATCCGAAAATGTATGCTGCTAAATTGGGCCAGTCCTTCAAGAAACGTTTTTGGTAAAATCAGGGGTGGACGTATACCAATGAAACGCACTGTATGGTGCATGGGGAAGTCTTTAAGCACGTTTACATAAATCGGGAAACTCTTCTGTAGTTGTCTCATGTCTCAAGGACATTTATCGAGATCTCTACGGAAACTCCTTACAAATCTAAAAAACAGTACAGGAGCATTAGCACAGCATGCTCGCCCTTCGTTGTAATTACTGTCTTTGAAGAAAAGTGCCCTTCCTGATGGTCCCATTTCGTGTATTTTGTTTCACATTTCATCAAGCTATATCACTTATGTTAGCAGTGAAATAACATGCAAAGTTGCTTTAATCATTAATCATCGGGCCCTGCACACCAGTGCAGTTATACTGTTCCAGTTCAAAATGTCATTTAGACTGGACAGAGAATAGTACTCATGGGCAATTATGTCAAGAACTTACTTTATCCAGTTTCTTTTCTTTGTGTCGTTTCTTAGTGTCGTACGAATTTTTGCCGGCATGCTCATTCCCAGCGTCTCGTTTGTGAATCTTCCCAACCATTTCAGCAGTGGCTTGTTTCATCGTTTTTAACAGGGCCTGGGCCGATTTAGCGAGTGAGTCCTGCCATCTCTGTATAGAAAAAACTTATCAGTTTAGTCGTAGAAATTTCATAAAAAAGCTTCTGTGTGTGATAGTTCGTCTAAGATTAGGCTGATTGTTCAGTGTCAACTACTCCAATATCGCTATTATGTGTGCGCACTACAGGAATACTTGATTGTGAGGATTCGCCCAAACATAATGAGATAGAAGGCAGATGTGGACAAAAAGTGCGATTCATAATGAAGAGATGCATTCGTACATACTAGTTATAGGCCTTACATCGTAGCAAAGAGACAGCTGCTAAATTATTAGTAGATATTGTCTCTATTACATCTAACTACACTGCGTCTCCTAATTATACAGCCACCTAGAAATTGTTCAAAATCTCGAATTCCACAAAGTTTCTGGAAAAATGTCCAACAGGAAAACTGTGTCAAATTTGGTCGCGAATTCGAAAATCAACACAAATTCCAGGTTGAAAATGCGAAAAAATTTTATCCAATTTTTCCAGGATCATACATTATACGCCCCCCCACCCCAAACCCCCCCCCCACCCCCCCCGCGCCCCCACCGCCCCCATCCGGCCCGCCGCGGCCTCCCTCCACCCCCCCGGCCCCCCCGCCTCTGCGCCCGGCACGCCCCACAAATCCGCGTATTCGTTGCGTTGCATTTCATTTTGCTGCGTGCGATGAAATGTCAGTTGTTTGGCAGTCCTCATGTTTTTTCTCCATCATATGCACGGCAAAGGAAAAAACTACTGGCTTTTGAAAAGGAGAAATTCGTGGCACGAATAGAAAAATTAGCGCAGGGTGGTCACAATTGCCGCAGAGAATGTCAGTTCGAAACCATGAATGATTAGCAATTTCTTGGAAAAGTTCCGGTCTTCTTCGAAAACTTAATCTCTTACTGGGGATAGTTGTCGGAAGTGTATGACTAGCTTTAGAGAATCGCATCGTTTAGCCGGAAAGATGAAAGACCAGTGTATGCTGAAAGAACCGTCTGCAAAAACGCGTGTTATATTTACAATGGAAGTCTGTACAAAGCTACATCAGAGCAGGATCGAGTCGCCGCGTCGCTGTTCTGTGTTTACTTGCTTATCTGCCATTCTTGGTGAGGACGGTTCACTTTCAGATGAGCCTGTCCTGAGAGGAAAGCTTTTGTTATGTCAAGAAAGAAACTTGAAGGGTAAGAAGCAAATATGAATGTAAACCAGAAGAAGGCCGGAGAATGGCAATCCTGCTCCGGTTGGCTTTTCTCAGACGTTCCATATGCTAAAAATGGCACGGTTTTCCAGACGGTTTCCTTTCAGAAACACTGTGTTTTTCCCTTTTTCCGAAGTCCAATAGTTGCTTTCCTTTCCTGATAACCTAAGAAAGAACAATTGAGGACTGCCAATCAGTTTCATCGAGCAGAAATGAAATGCAACGAAGAAACACGGGGTGGCTGTATCATTTGGAGACGATGGAAAAGCGACCCTTTCTGGAAAAATTAGGATAAAATTTTTTCGCATTTTCAACCTGGAATTTTGTGTTGATTTTCGAATTCGCGACCAAATTTGACACAGTTTTCCTGTTGGACATTTTTCAGAAACTTTGTGGAATTCGAGATTTTGAACAATTTCTAGGTGGCTGTATAATTAGGAGACGCAGTGTATTTGAGGCATGGGGAACAAAGCGCTGAACATTCGCATGGCTGCACGAAGGGATAGTTTAAAAATTGAAGGACTTCGTCAGAGTTTACCTTCACTTCGTTTTAGGTGCAAGTAATTTAATCTATTGACTAAACAAGAAACAGGGATCTTTTTGCTCCATATATCTTCAAAAAAGGACTAACCTCACTGCTATTCTTTCCGACTACGCCTACAATCACATTCCGAGTTGGAGTAGGCTCGAGGCACATTTTGTCATACCACTCTTTCTTATTTTCCATCCTGGAATGGCTTTTTCCTTCAGAGAACGTAGGAAAAGCCCAGGCTGAGCCAAGGGCTTTAACTTCAGATACAGTGTGACTGCCGCACTTACCTTCCGTACCGACGTTGACGAACAGATAGGACAGCGCCGCGACAGTGAACAACATTCTAATTGTGACAAAGTACCGTGCTTTCTACCCCTTTTATGGGCAGGAATGAAGCAACGATCATCCAGCCTCTCGCACTTGTTTGCAATGTATTTCTTCAAACCATCCCAGAACTGTTTGAACAGCTTACGAAATAATAAGGTTCGTCTGAGGAAGGAGCGAAACGAACCATTTTAATTATTTTGTTTATAAAGGTTTTTCTTTCTTAATTACACATTGCATTAATATGTTAACAAGGTGAATTGAATCAAGGGGCACTGCACTTAATAGAGGCTTGCAAGGCTAAATTAAGCCGCTCTTCTCCTGCCGTTTGTTTGACGTTCGTCTAGCCAACAAATCGAAACATCGGAGGCATGTTTGCCCATAATTTGTGATGAAGTAAAATCAATGATCGCTCGTTCCACACTCTGCCATA